TGTGTGGTACTCAGTTGCCGACTGAGGTTAAACCACAACAGTCCTTTTTGGCGCCCAATGTGGGGCAACACAGCAGGAGAAGTTTTTGAAAAAGGGAAGAAAATAGTCCAAATCCTGCTGAAGGCTGGTTTTGCCATAAAACAAAGTAAAGTCAAGGGACCTGCACAGGAGATCCAATTTTTAGGAATAAAATGGCAAGACAGATATCATCAAATCCCAATGGATGTGATCAACAAAATAACAAGCTCCTTGACTCTATAAATAGGGGAATCAGGAACTGGAAAGGGGAATCATTTGTCTGATCACAACACTGGCAAGCCTGATACTAAAACATTGCATCTGGGGCAGGGCTCCAACACATCCTCAGCAGTAGTTGAAATACCCCAAAAAGGGCAGAGAGAGGTCACCAGTATTATTTGAAGGCTGGAGAAAATTCCTTCCTCGGAGAGACTCAAAGAGCTCAGTGTGCTTAGGAAATGGGAGAGGACTTGACTGCATTGTAAAAATATTTTCCTGGAGAGAAATTAATGTGTGCTGAAGGGCTCTGTAATCTAGCAGAGACGTGAATAACAAGAGCAAGTCCATGGAAGCTGAAGCCAAACAAAGTCAAATACAGAGTCAAGCACTTGTTTTTGGCACTGAGTGTGATAGGTGACTGGAACAGATCCCAAGAGCCCGGGAAGAGACAGGGTGGAGGCTCTGTCCTGAGGCCCTCAGCTCTCCATTGCCACCTCTCTATCAGACACCTCTCAGACCAGGTCCTGCAGCCAGACAGGGGGTTGCTGGGTGGACGTGGATACCTTCTTGAGGGGAAACCCACTGTGCAGAGACAGCGGCTGACCATGAGGTCTACTCAGCTCTTAAGCTCCATGGATCCACCAGGACAGGGAATTGAGGAGAGTTTTGCTTTTGCCTTTTATTGGAGAATGGCCAGACCCAGGTGGGAGATTTCACAGTGTGGTTCACCAAGGTTGCTCATGGTAATGACTCTCCTGACAGTGTTTCCCAGTTTGCCTTGGAGATTCTTCACTCTCAGGCACCTCTGGACCTTCTCCCAGAAGAACATCAGAAAATGCTAACTTTTGTCTTCACTGAGACCATAAATGGCCTTTCTTTTGCTTTTCTGGAGAAAAGAAGGCTGAGGGGAGACCTCATCGCTCTCTACAACTACCTGAAAGGAGGTTGTAGCGAGGTGGGTGTCGGTCTCTTCTCCCAAGTAACAAGTGATAGGACAGAGGAAACGGCCTCAAGTTGCGCCAGGGGAGGTTTAGATTGGACATGAGGAAAAATTTCTTCACTGAAAGAGTTAGTTATCAAACACTGGAACAGGCTTCCCAGGAAAGTGGTTGAGTCACCATCCCTGCAGGTATTTAAAAGACATGTAGATGTGGTGCTTAGGGACATAGTCCAGTGGTGGACTTGGCAGTGTTAGGTTTACGGTTGGACTTGATGACCTTAAGGGTCTTTTCCAACCTAAATGATTCTATGATTCTATTCCCCAAATCCTACAGAGGTGTGTTGTCAGAGCTGGGCTAGTGAGAGCTGAATTTTCCCCTCAATGCTACCTCCAGCCTCGTTCACATGGCTACAAGAGAGGAAACTCTTTGCTACCAGCACTATTCCTGGAGACCTCTGAGGAGTTCAGCTGCACTTGGCAACACAGACAGCCAGAAACAGGTCCTGCCCCACTGTAAATGGGCAAGGCAGATCAAGGAGTTGAGATGTGATAGTGCCTCTGGGGTGAACACAGCCTAACAGATCCATCACCTGGAAACTCCTCTTGATGTCTCTTCTCACATCCTTTCACAAGCTACCTTGAGTTTACAGACCTGGCTACACCCCTGTTCCTAGCATCTCCCATGCCCTCCATCCCTGTCCCCGGCACACTGGTACTCACCAGGCAGTGAGCCATTGATGTAGCCATTGATGGTGTGCAGCTCCGTCCTGTTGTGAGACAGGGGCTGAGGAGCTGCTGGGGAGCCAGACTCAGAGTACCAGCTTTTCCCTGCAGAGAGAGGAGGATGCAGTCAGCTTTCACTTGAGGGCATTTCAAAGAAAAAGGAAACCTTCCCACTGGGGTGAAACAGTATGAAAGCCAAAATCCAGGGAGGTCAGATGTGTGGTGCCTTTTGGAAATCCACAGCAGACCTGGCCACGGCTCTGCATGAATGTGGTGGTGACCATTGCACGTGACAGGGCATTACCCCCCCGTAGCTTTAGCCTGTGTGATGGGAACAAGGCCAGGGCATGGGATGGGAGAGCTGGGGAGGCTGCAAGCTCCCTGCACCTGGGGCACAGAAGAAGGAGTGGCAGTACTGCACCAGGAGTACATTGGTCGGGGGGGCTGTACCAGGCTCAAACCCTTGGGAGGCAGTGTGGGAGCTGAGCAACTGCTCTCACACCATGGCCAAAGCATGTGCCCTAGACCAGGCTGAATTCAGGGTCCGACACTGGTCAACAAGGTAGTTACCTTCATCAAACACTGCGAAGAGCATCACAAACTCTTGCTGCGTGTCCTCGTTCCCATCGCTTGCCAGGGTCCCTGCAAGATGCCATGGGATGGATCTCTTTAAAGTTCAGCAAGCACCATGCCCGTCTCCCCAGAGAATTCCCTTTGTGCCCTCCAAGAACTGGTAAATCAAGGCCAGGCTGTGGATTGCTTTTGTCACATCTCATGACTGGCACAGCCCTGTTTCCAGCCTTGCAGTCCCCAAAAGCCGACAGTTGAGAGGCAGCTGCCCCCAGAAGGCATCGAAAGGTCAGTTTGTGCTGCCTTCCCCTCGCAGGCTCTCAGGATCCACTTAGTCACCTGGAAGAGCCCATTTTATCTAGCCCCCTCATCAGCACCATGGTCTGTGCTGATGGTCTAGACTTGTCTCGGTCAGTGGAGAAACTGTTCCTGGTGAGTCACTGGAGCCTGCAGACAGTGACCTGGGAGGAAGTGACTCGTGCTCATTCCTCTCCAGTGACTACAGAGGGGTCTGAACAACTGTCTCCAGCAGATGGCTCAACCAGGGGTGACCAATCCCACCCCAGGTACACTTCTTGGTGCCTTGCACCCAGCAAGTATTAACAGTCAGGATTTCATCACCTCCATGTTTACTGAAGGAAGGAGAGCAGGCACAGGTACTGTGGACCAGGCAGTGCCCCAGGTGTCCTGCTTCTCTCCTGCCTGATCCTTAACCCTTGCTGATACAAAATTCGCTCTAGTTCTTCCGACAAAACCCTGTTTGACAAAGCACCCTGGCTGACACTGAATGATCACAGCTTGATGAACCTCTGAAGGAAAGACAAACATTTATGCCTCCATAGCAATTCACCTTATGGATAGATAAGGTTCAGATACAAGGTAGAAGATTTCATCTGTGGTCTGAAATCTTGCAAAGGAAGAAGCAACCGATTTCTCTCCAGCAGGGAAATCCGAAGTGTGTTTGGCTCCTGCACTGGGAAGGGACTCTTTGAGGAAAGGGCCAAACCCCAAAAGTGCTGTTGTTGACCACAGCTTACTGACTCCGCTGCCATGTTCAGCCTCTGGAAGGTGTCTTTGATTTTTCTGATTTTCAATTCATGATTGCATGTGACCTGTCCCCGTCCTGTGCTGTCCTTACCAGGTCGGCACACGAGCAGGGCTCCAATCAAACCGGAGTTGATGTCCTTCACACTGTCAGTGTTGGAGGAGTAGGAGTGGGTCAGGCATGGTGAGTCGCCATCCGTTGGGCCCTGGTTTTGCTGGATTTCCCAGATGTACGTGTGTGTCTTCCCTGGATCCACCCTGTCACCCTCCTTCTCTGGCTGGCTGGTCTCATCCTCGTACCCTGCACCTAAAGCCAAAGGAACAACCAGATATCACTGAAGGTTCATCCCCAACACACTGTGGCTATAGAAATGCCTCTTCCCCCAGCCTAGAGCACAGCCTCTCTCCACCCCAGACCCTGGGGCCAGCCTGATGCCCACCGGCAATGGCTGGTCTCAGGGCAGTGAGCAGAGCTGTGCCAGAGACTCGCTTGTCAGGCTGTGCACCCACCACCTGCCCTGACGCTGGAGGGCACAGTCTTCCTGGCCTTAAGCATCCAACCTCAGGTTTAACCTATGTATTACCTCTATAATTGATACAGGTTTGCTCTGGGCTGTTTGCCCATCTCAGCTCATTTCTGGGCTGGGCACGGTCTTGTTGTTCCCCCAGGCTAAGCCATCTCTGTCACTGTCTGTCCTCATAGAGGGATGTGAACAGCAGGGTCAGGGAAGGACTCTCTCCCTCCTGGCAGGCAGGCGGCAGAGCAGGAGGTGCTGCACAAGGACTTGCAGCACCTGGCTATTGCCCAACTCACCCTCTGATGCCTTCCAGTAGGACACCCCAATGGCGTGGAGGTTGTATGGGCGGGAGGCCAGGTTCTTAAACGTGATGACCACTGTGTCATAGACTTCTGCTCGGATGGTGGGGCCCAAGAGACCTGAAGAGGGGGAAGACAACAGGGTCAGGCAGCTGGGGTCAGGCAGCTCACACCCAGCCATGGGCCCCAAAGGGTCTGGGCTTTCCATCTGCACAATTAGTGGTTGTCCGTCACATAGCACAGCAGCATCAACTGCTCTGGCACCAGCAAGGCTCCCTGCATTCCCAGCAGCTCTGCCGTACTGGGACTCTACCCAGGTGCTTTCCCATTCCTGGCCGAGGAGTGCCAGCACCCAACCCAGGATGAGTTTGGACGCTGTCAAGGAGAGCTAGGGCTCACCGCGCTGTGGGTGTTTCTTACCCATCCACGCTGGCTTGGGCTTGGGCTGTGTGAACAAGGCATCAGGGTACTCCACAAACACGGCCTTCCTGTACCAGGGAGGGACACCAGGCATGGGGGGCCGTGGGTCTGGGTGCCCCAACATGCTGCAGGAGGAAAGAAAAGCCAAGGCTGATTGCACAGCCCCATCCATGGACAGGCAGCAGCCATCCTCTTCTTCCCCTCCCGCCAGCTTGCCTGTGCAATGCCGGCCCTGGGGATCGCTCACCCTGTTGTGTCCTTTGAGTTTCCTGACAATCCCCAGGTGTGTTTGGAAATGTTTTGCTCAGCTCACGGATGACAACATAGCAGTGATTAATGTCATGGTGTTAGTCACGATGGAAGACATCTGTAGCCGGGAGCGGGCACAGCCGCAGGCATCGCTGCCAGCCTCCTGCCTCGTGCCTTGCCCGGCTTCGTGCTTCCCTGCCAGCAGAGACCCGGGGCACTGGGAGTGCTGCGATAGCAGCGCCTAGTGGCCTCTGCCCCACAGCCACCCCCCACCCCATCCCCAGGCACCTTCAGGTGTGGCAGACACATCACATCACGTACAACCTCGAGCATCCTCCCCAGCTCCCCCTGGGAAAGAGACTGTGTCGGCCTGCATGGCAGGTTGCGGCAGTTTGCTCTGCGGTCTGAGCAACGTCCTCACATTCATTTATTTTCTGACCAAACCAGGATTTACAGCCAGCCCCTAAAAAACTATTCCTTGCAGCAGGAGGATAAAGGAGCCTTGAACGTACTTCACACCCCACTTATTTCTGCTGGCCACTTTCTATCTGAAAGCAGCTTAACAAATTCATTTTCCAGAAGGAATCCAGCACGTTTATCATGATAACAAAGCCATTAATTTCTCCAGGGATTTTAGAGGCTGGCTTATCAGCCCTGGGACTGAGACCATTTCCAGTAACAAGACAGACCGCTTCCAGCCTTGTTTTGTTTGGAGCAAAAGCCAGGTGGTATTTTCTTCCCTCTGAAGAAGCAGGGAGGATTGCTCTCCCCCTCTGACTAAGCCTTCATTCAAGCAGTGGTTCCCTTTACGGCTTTTCCTCAAGAGGAAGAGGAAGGAGCCAGAGTGACTCAAATTTAGGAAAGGGTGACGCACACTCGCCCCCATGCCGCCGGCTGGAAGCCACCTGCAGCTGGAGGATGCTGTGGGGAGAGTGGGGTTCACCCTTCCCGGGGGCAGAGCAGGATGGGCGCCTATGAAAACCCGACGCGCACCCAGCTCCTGCCTTTCCCACCACGGCTATGACTCCACGTTCGGGTTGGCAGGAAGCCCCCAGCAGACACAGCCCCAGTGAGCAGGGCCACTGCATTCAGCCGACTTTGCCTATGAGCCGTTATCATTCCTGGCTCAATGGCTGTAGGGTCCGGACCAAGCTTTGCTCTCCAGGGTGACCCCACGCTGGGAGGTGGCAGTGCCATGGGGTCGCTGGCACTGGACTGTCCACTGTTGGGAAGCTGTGCCTTAATTTCTAACTCGCAGAAAGCCCAGCTTTGAAAATACATCCCCGAGATATGAGGGTCTGGTCCTGCTAATTCTGTGGTAAACAAGGCAGAAATCCTCTGGAGCCAGGGGGATTTTGCTGGCACATGGGGGCATGGCTGGGAGGAGAATTGGTGGCACCAGGGCTCAGCGCCAGGTCGCAGCTGGAACAAAAGAGCCTGACAGCCTTTGCAGGGGACGAGGAGGCAGAGTTCAGCACAGGGACATCTGATCCAAGTGCTTCTGGCTGTTCCTCTGCACTTAGGGTGCAGGACTTCCTACCCCAAGGGTGGCTGAAGCCAGAGATAAGTTCCTGGCGCCTTCGATCAGCATTGTTAGCCGCACTATCTGTTCATCTCTTGGAGCCAGGAGACAGCCAAGGTAAACACTGCGCTGCCGAAGCACTCAAACACGGGCTGCTGCTACATGGCCGCCAGCTCCAAGCCGGAGCTGAGATCCCTGGGGCCGTTGCAGGATGTGCTGGTCCCAGCTCCGACCCTGCTGGTAGGGTTGTGTTTGGGAGGAAGAGAAACTGAAATCATGGGGAAGGCATAAGCAGCTCTGGCCTGGTGTGCTGTAGCCCATTCATTTGGCAGAGCTTTCCACAAACGTGCCAGAGAAACCACTGGATACATACAGGGGTTTTGGAGGTCCTGCCTGGAGGTGCACCATGAGATGCTGGTACCATGAGGGAGAATGAGTGGAGCAGAAGACACCCCACGCACAGCTCAGAGGCACCCCAGCTCCGGTGGCAGCTCTACTCCTGACACGCTCTGCTCGCTTGCTCCTGCATGCCCCTTCTCCGCAGCCTGGCTGTTTTCCTGTGCCCTCCCCTCATGGGGAGAACTGGGCTGAGGCTGCAGAGCCAGGAAAAAGGCCCCGTCATCCAGCTGGGAACAGCCACACCAAGCAAGCGCCGGTTCCCACCATGGCTCCCCCGGGAGCCATGCTGCCCAGGCGTGCCCTGGGTGGAGCACGCCACCAAGTCCCTCTGAGAAAGCCAAGTTATCTTTCCCCTTTTTAGAGAAGGACAAGTGACCTCAAACTGCCTGCTGAGGCCCCGCTTGTCTCCAGGGCAGAGCCAGGTTCCTGAGTCACTCTTGGGTCAGAAACAGTGCGTGAGCACGTCGTTAAAGCCAGTGCCAAAATGGAAAGCCACAGGGTTGAATTAACAGCGTGTGTGACCTCACCTCCACTGTAGCCTAATGAATCTGAATGCAACGTCAGTAAAAGCAGGGCAGGGGGGGCATTAGTAAAACGGGGAGTGCTGGATGCAATTGTCCTACTGAAGTAACCAAAGGGAGGAAAAAACAATGTAACTCTGATACAGTGACTATGGCAGCTAGTCAGGCTGACCTGGCTTATCACCGGAGCCTAGTTTCCAGTGCCTGACCACAGCTCCTCACTGCTCAAGCCAGTGTGGGTCTGAGATGGGGCTGTGAGCTGACATTGCCCCAGCACAGAACCTGGGGAAGGGGATGTGGCAGTGGGGCAGAAGGAAGGGATACGGCTTGATCCACAGGGGATGTAGTCGTCCAGCTCTGCTCCCCATGCTGAGCTCAGAACAGCCCATTCTGTGCACCCAAGCCATGTGTGTCCAAGCCAGCTGTGTCTCTAGGCAAGATAGTCCTGATGCCTGCAACTGCCACTTTTCCTTCCTACTCCAAAGTATTTGGGCAAACCCACCATGCCTTCCTCTCTCTTGTCACCATGTACAAACACCATTCTTTGCCCAAACACTAAAAATTATTCTCATTCCCTAAAGGAAAAATTTCAGCCCCAGCAATGTAATGTACACAAAGATATAAATAACTAAAGTTGGTTTTTACCAGGGGCAGACACAGTGGAGAGCCTTTGCTGCTCTGAGTTATGTCGGAGGGGCACAGCCAACCTCCCTCTGCAGCCCTCAGGCAGGGGGGCACACCCCATCTCCCCTCGCATCTCCCCAAAGCTCACAGGATGCAGAGCAGAAGAGAAAGCACAGGCTGGAGAACCAGCTTTTGGCTCCGGGCACAGACTTTAAAAGGTCACAGGCAAACAACATTAAGATAAAGCAGTGCAGAGCAGTAGTGCAGAGCAGGTCTGCATCCCTCTCTGCACATTTATTCCACCCGTGCATTATCAGGGGTTGCACTTAGTGACTCCTCATTGCACAGAAACACCCATTCCCAGCTGTACCAGCAGCTCAGTGCACCCACTCTGCCAGGTTGACCCCACGCACCTGCCTGTCTGGACCCAAGCTCACAGTGCTGTGCATGCCAGGGAGAGTGAACACCCATAGCAGGGTGCTGGAATTGCAATAGAAAGAGCTTTACCTTGCAGGCGCTTGCAGCACGGAGAGCAGGTCGCTGTGCGTGTAGTCCCAGGCGGTTTCCACTGCACCAATGTAGTATCTTCTGACTTTGCTGATGCCCTCCTCAACCAGGCAGAGGAGCAGGAGGCCGCGCAGGGCTCCCACCAGCATCGTGCCCGCTGGCTGGGAACGACTCTGGTTTCAGGAGGAAAAGTGAAAAGGAAGGAATGAGAAAGGAAAGAGGAGAGAAAAGCCTTTATCTTCTCATCCAGCTGTTGTAATCCATAGGAGATGATGATTTAAAGCCAGCACTCACAGGCTCAGTCAGAGCGCTGGAGAGTTTCTCAAAGGCATTAGGAGAGGAATCGCTTGAGCAGGTTAGTGCAAAAAGGAGCGTGCAAGCAATGGACTCTCGCTCTCTTCCTCTGGGGTGGCAGTGACAGGAGGAGAGGAAAAAACAAAAGGAAAGGGAGGGCAAGCGCAGTGGTAAGCTCCACTGCAGGACCCAGCTGGCTCTGGGAGTGAGGTGAGGAAAGGGAAGGTTGCAGAGGAAGGGGAATTTAGGTGCGGTCTCTGCCTGGTCCCACCTTCCCTCTCACCGCAGAGGGGGAGGAGGAGAGCGGGTTGCAGGCCAGCACCCTGCTGCTGCCCAGGCTACAGGAGCCTTTATTTTCCCCCTCAGGTCAGTCTGAGCTTGCACCTGGGGCTGGAGTCCCCCAGGAGCTGGCAGCTGCCTTCTGTACCTGCTATCCCGCATAGCTTGAAGAAATGGCAGTTTAGGGGAAAATTTGCCTTCAGGATGCAGATGGCTTATTGCTACGAAGCAGGAGGGGCTGCCCCATGCCCACCAGCGCTGGGAGCCTTCAGGGTACTTTGCTTCTGCAGGGGCAGGGCTGGAGGTGAGGAAATAGCCAGGGATGCACATATGTGTGTACATATGTGGGGTGTATACCTGTCCCCTGGGTGCCTGCACCCCAAGCAGTGATGATTTAGCCACATAACCTCGCTTTGAGCCACATGGGAGGGAGAGGGTTGGGGCGATCTCTGGGAGTTCCCCTCCTGCCAGCTGCCCCTCACCCTTCTCCTCTTCTCCCAGGGTCCTGTAGAACAGCTCAGAGAAGATGCACTGAAATGTTTTTGCAAATTTAATCCATTTTAAACTCACAAATTTTCAATATCTCTTTTTAAAAGCCCAGGAAATGCCCCCCACTCCCCCAAATGCACACACATGTGCTCATGCACACACGCTGGCATGTGGTTCTCCCTCAGCTCATGAAGGCAGGAAGATGAGGAGGAAAACCCTGCGTGGTCCCAGCATCCGCTGGGCGAGTGAGGTGGGAAACATCCCATAAATCATGCTGTAGTGCAGCAGGAGTGCAACAGGGGCAGTGACCCCTTTGATGACAGTCCCAGTGTGTGCAGAAGCATCCATGTGACAGTCTTGGTGCCTGAGTAACAGAAGGAAGTGGTGGCGATGGTGGTGGGATGGGTGTTTTGGGGTCCCAGATGCAAATCCTTAGTGTGGGGCAGGTGGGACGGGTAGGGGATGGAATGGGAGATAGGAGCTGAGCCCCCCGGGTAGGGGCAATCCCAGCAGATGTAGGAACACATTCCCTGATGTCCCACTGCCCCATGTAGCCCAGCATAGCCTGTGAACAACCTCAAGCATCCCAGCCCCATGGGCTCACCGTGCAGGAGCACCCCATGTCCATGGGGTCGGTGACAGCTCTCTGTCCTTCTCCCTCAAAGAGGGGCTAGTTCTCACCACCTTGCTGGGGACACCCCCTCTCTTCCCACCCCTCTCCTTATGGCAGCCCTGAGCCTGAGGGGGAAAACCATCCTGCGCAGCTGTGTCTGGCTGGGGCTCCCATGGTAACAGCAAGGAGCACCCGGGGGGACTCCCCTTGGCCTGTGTAAAACCCCAACCCGCCGAGGGGCTGCCCACTCCTTCCTGCACTCGCCCAGGGGCTGGCTGACACAGCAGGAGCCAGGGCAGAAAGCGTTCCCCCACACCACCCAGCCTGCTCCCAGAGAGGCAAAAAGCCAGTGAGAAACACATTTCCTCTGGCTCGTGCACTGGCAGCTGGCTCTGTGCCCAGCCTGGGGCTCCTTTTCTTTGTGAGGAACATGAGCAACAACCCACCTCATGTTTTCCAGCAAGTATTTTGGTGCAAAACAAGTGGTGTGTCACATTCGGGGATGCCCTGGGTGCTTTGCACCACCTGCCCTGCCGTGGTGAAGTAGAAGGATATTCTTGTGCTGGAGGGAAAAGGGTTGTCCGGAGGTCCGGGAGAGACATGGGAGATCTGATCTGTGCTTCTGGCACCAGTGTGCCCTGCAGCATGGATGTGACTTTATTCCAGTCATCCTGTCTGGGAATCTCCCAGTGCTGTGAGACTGTGCTCACCCAGAAAGACTGGAAAAGGTGTTTCTTCCAGAAACAAGCAGATGGGGAGAAAGTTGCCAAGCAGACAACATGACTGTGAAGAGGGCAGTCGGGGGGGGGGGAGGCTGGCAGCACGGGATGGGCACACAGGAGGGTTAGGGTTGGCTGTCAGGAGGGGTGTTCCAGCTCTGGGTGCTGGAGATCTGCATGGGGCGGCATGGAGTCTTCTTGCTTCTAACCCTGGCAGGGATGCTGCAGGCACTGTGGGATGACAAGATGCGGGGATCACAGAGGGGAGTCAGGCAAAGCTTCACTTGGGGGCTGCAGTGGCAGGAGCCTGGACACAGTCAGAAATAAATGGTTGTGACACTGGCAGGTGCTGAATTGCTGGGTTTAACCATTTTCAGCTACTGGGAGGCAGCTCCAGGTTCCTGACCCAGAGACATAAGAGTAAACTGGAGATATGGGGTCTAACCTAAGGAAGCAGAAAGAAAATTATATTATCAAGATTCTCAAGGCTGTGGGAAGGGGAATCCAGGTGTGAAACTGGAGGACACTTGGAAATAACTTGGGGAGGGGGCCCAGATCCTGGTGCTTGCTGCATGCAGTGAGTAGCTTTGTGCAGGCATTGAAGAGCCAGTGCAGAGTGAAGCATGCCGAGAACAGCCAGGCATCCACAGGGAGCCCGGCTCCCCCCCCCAGCATAGCCTGCTAAGCCAGATCCCACATGCCCCAGCAAGAGCATGCATGGCCCCAGCAAGTGGGGTGGCATTAGCAGCCCTGGCACTTCCAAGGGCTCAGCAAACCTGTGCAGGTGCCACTGCAAAGTGTCAGCATTGCCCTGATGGCTGGGATGGGATGGGCCAGGTGGTAGCAGATGGCTGCGCCTTTGAGAGAGCTGCAGAGAGGCATTGGCATCCTGGTCCTGCCTGGAGCAAGGCACAGCATGAGCAGATCGGCCCATCCCCAAACCTCCCTGTGAGACGGCGCCAGGGCGCTGTCCTCCCATGCAAATATGATGGGGAAGCCAGGACAGGCTCCTGCCAAGAGTCCTGGAGAAACCTGCTTGGCCAGAGCCAAGGACCCATGTGCATGCAGAAAGCGCTGGTTGTTTCCCCAAATTGTGCAGTTCTCAGCTCAACATGGGGCTGGGGCAGATAAAAATGACTCAGAACAAAGTGAGCCATGTCTAATCTCTTCTGGGACTTTTTTTGTGTGTATGTGAGAGAGCGAGTGACTCATGGCAGCTTCTTGGGAATGCAGAGTATCTCAGAAGCAGCAGCCACCCATGGGGCACTCACCTTTCCCAGCACTCACATGGGCAGAGGACACTGAGACACTAGCTGTACTGTGTGGGACCAGTGATCTGGCAGAAGGACCAGTCATGGCCCCCTGTACCAGCGCTTCTGAGCTGGAGCATCTCCTGCTGCTGCCCGCATCCCACCTGGACCCTGCCTGCCCTGGGGAGGGCTTGGTTTTGGTGTGCAGCTGCTCCAGAAAGAGGAATGGCATCCTGAGGGTCAGCAGGACACATCCCTGCTCTTCCACAGACGTGCCCTGGGCAAGTCCCCGCTGCATGGGCTTGCTACGCTTCCTCCCCGTGCTACTGAGCGCATACTGCCAGCTGGCTCCTGCCCAGCCCACCAGCCATGCCCACCTGGATGCGTGCCACGCTGACTCATTTCACCAAATGCTCCAGGAAATCTCTGCCACCTTTCCAGTGCCTCCCTGCACAGCTGGAGTGAAGGATGCTGCGGGGGTTTCCAGCCTCCTCTCTGGAGCCAGTACTGGGGTTTAGTCACAGGGGATGTGTTTATCCCGTGTAAACAGGCCCACCATGCTCTGCAAGGGCAGAGGTGCTTTAGGGGAGCTGCTTTTTTCAGAATCCACTGTCTCAGTTAGGAAGAAAAAATATTAAAACAAACCACCAACCCACCAGCCAAAAAAAGCATCTCTCCTGGTGCTTTTGTCTCCATCCAGGCTGCGGCAAAACCAGCCCAGATGGAGGGACAAACCCTGGCCCTAGTGCAGATAAATCACAGCAGGAGCAAAGCCCACACCTGTCCTTGGGGGGAAAAACTCCCTCCTTTGGTACCAAAGCTCCGGGCTGGAGGAGAAATGCCTGGTGGACCTTGCTCAGCCACTGCACCCCAGCAATGATGGAGCAAAGAGGGACTGCAGCCCTGTGCAGCTCACAGATCAGCTGACCCACAGACAGTGGGACCCCAAGGGAGCTGCAGCACAGTGGGGCCGATGGCACCAACAGCCCTGAGTATCCAGCAAATACAGCCCTGAGGTTCCTTAGCCCCGGAGCAGAAATACCAATGTGGAGGAGGTCCCAAAAATAAGTCTGCTCTCCTCCCCTGGATTTCTCTGCAGTAAGTGGGTCAGCAGAGCATTTCCTCTTTCTCTCTCGTTTCTCACGTCGGAGGCATCTCTGAATGATTCAGGCAGGGGGAGCACAACACAGTGCTCCTAACACAGGGCACTCAGGCACTGCGCCTGCAGGAGCTGAGGAGGACAAGCATTCAGGAGGTCTCACCGGCCAGAGGATGCTTCCCATGGCCGCTGGCTTCGCACAGCTATTGCTAAATGATCTTTGCTCCTCAAGTGTCGGAGCAGCCTGGCCAAAACCAGAGCAGCCTCTGGGCACACGTCCTTCGTAAGTCACCTAATTACCCTGGCTGATTAAATGAAGCTCAGATCAATTGCTCTCCCCTGGGCTTGCTTTGAGGGTTCCTGCTGGGTCAGCCTGGAGATGGGGGTCATGTTCCCAAGGGGCGTCCGGTTTTTGGTGTCTGTCATGCACTGTGCTTAGCTCATCTCCTGAGACACCCTGGCTGCTGCAAAAACTCCTGGAATAAGCCCCAAGCCCCAAGGGCTGCTCATATTCAGCAAAGCTTCCCCTGCACCCCCCAAGAAGAGGCTCTGTTCCACAGATGCTGTGCTTGGGGCCACAGAGAAGGGGCACGGTGGTGCTCTACCTTACCCGTCCCCTTGGTGCTCAGTGCTGCTCAACCCTGGCATCCTCACGTCAACAGAGCTCCTGGTGAGCCAGAAAAGGGGCTAAATTTAACAACAGGAATTTAATGGCGCTCCATGGGAATGGCTGTTTA